CCTGTCTATAGATTGTTCAGGATCCTGGTTTATATCCATCAGAAGGAATCTAAAATAGTCTGATTAATATTTTGTTGCTATAAAAGAAGCAATCTATATTATTCTAATTTGGTATATTCCCTAACTATAATACTGTATAATAAATAAGAAAAATAATAATTGTATATAAAAAGAAAGTTTTAAATTATTAATAGTGAAACATTTTTTTTGGTGAATTGCTATTTGCTCTATAGATTTTTGCTATTTGCACCATAGTTATACAAAGATCCCTTCGATTTTATCACTTTATAGTTTAAAAACTTTCAAAACTTTGTTTGAAGATAACTTGGCAACCACTTGACCAAAATTAATAAATTTTTTTTTATTTAAATTCTACAGATATGTAGAATTAAAATAAAAAAAAGTTTATTGATTTTGGTCAAGTGGTTGCTGAGATATCTTTGATCAAAGTTTTTAAAAAGTTTAAAACATTATATCACTTAATAATAACTATCACAGATTAAAATAAAATCTGATTAAAATGAAATTTTTATGTTTTTTAAAGAAAATTTAAATTTTTTTGGAAGATATTTTTTAGAGTTTTTTTTAGCATTAGAGGTTGGATTTAGGATTAGATTTATTAATAAATGAATATATAGATTTTATAGGCTCTAAAAATAGGTATAAGAGATCTCTAGTTTTATTTTAATCAAATTTCATTTTAATCTGTGCCAATTATTATTAAGTGATATAGGTATTTTAAAATTTTTACAAACTTTAATCGAAGATATCTCAGCAACTACATGACCAAAATCAATGAACTTTTTTTTATTTGAATTCTACAGATCTGTAGGATTTAAATAAAAAAAAGTTTATTGAATTTGGTTATGTAGTTTTGAGATATCTTTGATCAAAGTTTTGGTACAAATATTAATACAGTTATTATCACCGATTAAAACAAAATCTGATCAAAACGAAAATTTTCTTTTTTTTAAAGAAAATTTAAAATTTTTTGTAGAACATTTTTTGAAGTTCTTTTTAGCATTAGAGGTAGGGTTTAGGGTTAGGTTTATTAATAAATGAGTATATTTGAGTTTTATAGGCTCTAAAGGTGGATATGAGAGGTCCTAATTTCATTTTGATCAGATTTCATTTTAATCTGCAGCAGTTATTATTAAGTAATATAATCATTTTAAACTTTTTTAAAAACTTTGATTAAAGATATCTCAGCAATCACTTGACCAAAATCGATGAACTTTTTTTATTTTAATTCTATATATCTGTAGAATTCGAATAAAAAAAAGTTAATTAATTTTGGTCAAGTGGTTATCGAAATATCTTTGATCAAAGTTTTGAAAATTTGTAAATAATAAAGTGATAAAATTGAAGAGATCTTTATGTAACTATGATGCAAATAGTTAAAATCCATAGTGTGAATAGCAATTACTTTTCAATGATCACTTATATCAACCTAACACTGAAAGTAAGTTGAAGATATAAGCCTAGAAGTTAACAACAACTTGAAGTTTTCTTAATATATACTGTTGTTAACAAAGTTTTAAAACATAATCTACTAAGAAGCAGACATTTTGGACGGTTTGCAAAGGGGTCAAACCTTTTCTTCTTATCTTCTTAGGTGGACTCCTCTTTGTATTTGGTATTCAAATTATAGAAGTCTCTGAAAACAGCAAGTAAAAAAGAAAACTAAAGTTTGTTTGAAGATAGAAGACTATAAAGAACTCTTGAAACAATATTCTTTGGTTGAAAAACTCGCAGAAATTTGATACTTCCTTATCGTTCTTTGGTTTCAAAATTTTTGACAAAAAAGTGAAGAATTCAGCTTATCCTTTCCAAAAGATTGGCATTGTATACTACTTCTATATTGGAAAATTAAATAATAACAAATCAGCATGTGTTATGAAATGAATAAAATAATAACAAGTTTATGTGGAGTTTTTAAAGTCCTTATACTTTCAGATGAAGATATAGATTTAATAAGAAAAGTCAAGCAAAGTGTTTTAAGATATATAATATGTTTCTTGTATATTATTTTTAGCCTCTGGCACAAGTTATAGTATATCTTGTTATAAGTTTTTTTGTAAAAACTCTTATACTTAATAGTAGTGTTATAGAACAGTTTTATTTTATTAGTTTATTATTTTATCTTAGTATTATTTTATTATTTCAATATTTGTATTTTATTAGTTATTAGTTATTATTATATTTATTCTAGAGAAGAATTTAAAAGACATATATAACGATTAGCCTTAACGCTTAACGCTTAGCAATTTACGATTAACGATTATGCTTAGTGATTAGCGATTACCCTTAGCGGTTAACAATTAGCGATTACGCTTAGCGATTAACGATTAGCAATTATGCTTAGCGATTAATGATTAGCGATTACGCTTAGCGATTAGTAATTATGCTTAACGATTAGCAATTACAATTAGTACTTAGCACTAAGTGAACTACGCTTAGCTGCAACGATTAACGATGAGCTCTAAAGATATAAAAAGGTTGTAAATTTCACCAAGTTAACATTAGACCTGAAATAACAACAGACTTGTTATTGTCCACCCCACTTCCCCTCTTTCCTAAATTCTTTCTTGTAATATTATAGGATTTTTTAAGAATAGAAACCTAAGGATAGCCTATCTTATTTATCTTTAATAAACTTATATTTTATCTATAAACTATAGTTTCTCCAAGAAGCAGAAATTATACTTACCTGTTGGACATCGCTATAAACCTGTAAAGGATTCCTGTAGCTGTGGCATTGTTATAGTACTGCTGTTAAGAAGGCCACAGTACTGTAACAGTAGATTATTACTCTATATAATTAGAAGTCTTCATTTAGTTAGCAGGTTTTCTTTTTTTTAATAATAGTTTCTTTTAGGTTTTAGTTTAGATTTTTACTTCTTAATATTAGTATCTGTTTTTTTTAATATATTAGTTTTTATTATATACCCCTTTTTTTGTTTTTTATTATTATTTTTTTCTTTTTCCTTCTCTATAAAAAAGTGTTAACAGTTTAGTGGCATTTTATTGTAAAGTGGAAATCTTGATGGGGTGGTACAACAGCTAGCTGAAGAATTCAAAAAAAATAAGTTTATAGTAAGTTTCGGATCTCTAGAAAAGGCCAATTATTTGCTAGACAGGTTGCATCTAAGCAAAATATAGCAGTTTAATAGTTTGCTCTGACCGCAAGTGGATGCTTTAATATCTGCAAAGTATGTTATGGGTGAGTTTATCTTTTGGTCAGAATATAATAGATTTAGATTTCTTCATATACTGATGTAAAAATGAAAGTCTGGTTCTATAATAAAATAAACAAAATTGCTGAAGAAAAAAAATAGTAAAAAATATAAATAGCAGATTTTGTGTTTAAATTAAATATTGGCTATTAGAAAAAATATTCTTTTGAAAGATATCAAGAAAGCAGTTTTTGATAATAATAATTAAAAAAGGATTCTTGTTAATCTAGAAATAGAAAAAGAAAAATTATAAATGGCGACCTATTGTCATGGCGACCTATCGCCATAGCGACCCCTATATGATCAGCCAATCATTTTAAGTTTGGCAATCAGATACATATAACAACGATAATCATTTGTTTATAATTCTTGGTTGATTCATTTTTTTTTTTTTGATTCATTTTTTTTTTTTTGTGGTTTGTTTATTTTTTTTTTTCTTATTAGCTGATAGAGTCATAACTTTTGGAATTATTGTCGTTGGAGCTGCTATTACTTTTGGAGTTGTCGAGTTTCGTCGCCTTTTGTCACCTTTTATCATCGTCGCTAGAACTTTCTGCATGAGTAATTTAAATGTTATTTCATTAGCTTTTTCTTTATCAACTTTTTTCAATACTTGTTGGAAACTTTCTCTTGGTCTTGGTCTTATTCTTGAACTTTCGCTTGGACTTTCTCTTGAACTTTTTCTTGGACTTTTGCTAGGACTTTCGTTTTGGGTTTGTTTTTTTTTTTTTTCTTGGTTTTTTTTTTCTTTTTTTCGCCACTTTTTTTCGCTTTTCGATTTTTTTTTTTTTTTTTCGCTTATCTATTTTTTCTTTCTCCAATCTGTTTCTTTCGGTTTTTTTTTTTTCTTTTCTTTTTTTTTGCACTTCTTTTTGATTCACATTTTTTTAACTAACATTCTTCTCTTTCTAGTTGTAATTTCAGTGTTGCCAAATCGTAATCTTTGGGGATTTTCATCGCTGAAACTTTTTGGGTAAGTAATTTAAATGTTTTTTATTAGTATTTTTTTTTTTGCCAATTTGACACTTATCAGAAACTTTCTCTTGGTCTTGGACTTTCTCTCAGATTTTTCTTGGATTTTCTCTTTAAATTCTCGCTAGGACTTTTATTTCGGTTTTGTTTTTTTTTCTTTTTTTCTCCTTTTCTCTATTTCTTTTTTTCCCTTTTCCCCATTTCTTTTTTTCCTTTCTTTGGCCTTTTTTTCTTTTTCGCTTTACTTTCTTTTTCTTTTTTTTATTCGTTTTCCCTTCTTTTTTTGTATTTGTTTTTTTTTCTTTCATTTTCTCTTTGTCTTTTGTTATTTTCTTTCTCTTTTGTTATTCACTTTTTCTTTTATTATTCACTTTTTCTTTCATTCTTTCCTTTTTCTTTTGTTCTTCTCTTTTCTTTTGTTATTTCTTCTTTCTTTCGCTCCTTCCTTTTTCTTTCATTCTTCTCTTTCTTTCTTTATTTCTCTCTTTTTTCATTATTTCTTTTTTTATCATTATTCCCTTTTTCTTTCATTATTTCGTTATTCCCTTTTTTTTCATTATTTCGTTATTCCCTTTTTCTTTTATTATTCTCTTTTTCTTCGTTATTCCTTTTTCTTTCGTTATTCTCTTTTCTTTCGTTTCGCTCTTTTCTTTCGTGTTTTCGTTTTTCTTTCATTTTTTCCTTTCTTTTGTTATTCTCTTTTTCTTTTGTTCCTCCTCTTTTTTTTTGTATTATCATTTTTCTTTCATTCTTTTCCTTTCTTTCATTATCACCTTTTTCTTTGTTCTTTCTCTATTCTTTGTTTTCTTGTTTTCTTTTGATTTTCCCTTTTTCTTCTATTTTCTTTTTGTTATTTCTTTTTTCTTTCTTTCTTCTTTCGTTCTTTCTTTTTCTTTCATTTATTCTTTTTCTTTTTTCTTTCCCTTTATCTTTGATTTCCTCTATCTTTTATTTATTTATTTATTTTCGTAATTTATTCTTGCTAAAGTTCTTTTCTTTCTTCTGTTTAGATATAATTCATCATTGAAATCATTGTCGAAATCACCGCTAGAGTCGTTGTCGAAATCGCTGCTGAAGTCATTGTTGAAATCGCCATTGGAGTTGTTGTTGAAATCGCCGTTGGAGTCGATATCGTGTGATTTTGAAGCAGTCTTTAGAATCGTTGAAATTTTTTTGCAAGAAATTTGGGTGGATTTTTGGTTATTTTTTGCTGCCAAATTTTTTTGTATTGTTGGTTTTTTAATTGCATAATGACTTTTATAAGACGTTCATTTACTTAGCTTTTTTTTTTTTTTTTTTTTTTTGTTATAAATAGAGAACTTAAAAAAAATTTTTAATAAATAAAATTACGCGATCACGTGATCGATTTTGATTGATCGATCACGGGGTCACCATGGCGATGGATCACCATAAAATAATGCCCATAGAAAAATATATTTAAAAAGAAGAACTATAAAAGAAATAGTTTATAAAAGTTATTTGAAAATATTAAAATTAAGAGATTTTGAGTTCTATAGCTTAGTAGTTAAGCTCTCAAACTATACAAATTAAATTAATAGTTCAAGTTGAGCTGAAAATAAATTATATAAAATTTATTTTTGTAATCTATTGGAACTATAAAATTTAATATAAAGCTTTGCAGAAGTATAAGATTAATACAAAATCAGAATAAAGAGTTTTTGAAAGAAGACCAAATTGTGAAGTGAGACACTA